ACAGAGGAGGGATGAAGAAGCGGTTGAGATGGCATATCAGCCCAAACACTGTGATAAATAACCCACATTGTTGTCAGGAAGAGAGAGAGGGTTGGAGATTTTGAACTCATTAAATTTACAAATATTCTGTCCTTACCATTATTTTATCATCCTGCAGTGCTCACGTGCAGCTTATCTATGCGCTCCTTTCCACCTTGCCAACAAAGAGCATTCTTGCTTTACACAAAATGTTATATTTTCAAATTTTTTATTACAAGAAAAGTAAATTGTAAATTGAAGCACTTAAAAGTTACGATAAACAAAAAGACGTTTTTTGGCAATGTTTCTGCTGCTAATGATTGTTAATAATTCACAAACAAGATTTAAAGTGAATATAACGTAAAGGAAAACTGCTATTGCTAGAAGCTCTAAGCTGTTGTAGCTTTGATGATGCTCCTTGCTGACACTGAGTGGTGCAATTACCACATGCTGATGGAGGAGAGCTGCAATTACCATGTTTTCTGAGTCAACTGCTGAGGTTTTTCTTTAGAGGGCATTGGTATTTATTTATGTGCTTATTGTAGGCAAATTCTATTAAGTGCTTCCCCGATATTTTTAACATAGTACTAGGGAGAGATCTAGATATTTCTTTCTTTTTTCTTTCCTCACTGTAAGAATCAGAACTTTGCATTAAATCCCTACTGTGAGCAGGAGTCTATACTTCCAACCTAGCTGAAATCACTGTGGGAGTCAGTGGGGGGTTCTGTAGGAAAAATAGTGGCAGGGAGCGCAGGATGCCTTGAGAAATTTTGTATGAAATTGTTTTGCCTTTTATCGTGGGTGATGTTCATTTGTTTATTTTTGTAAGCCCAGCAGTAAATGTATGGATAATCGGTTAACCTTTTTGTCCTGGATTTACCAAGGACCCAGTGCTGTTTGGGGTGGACCAAAACACATTATTTCTGTTTAATAGTGTGATTGCGGCAATTGGCATGATAGAAGGCAACTTGAGTGACTGCTCAGCACCTATGCATGTATTCTTATAAGTCATTTTGACTGTTTGTGATTTTTTTTTTTTTGTTAGTCTTGCTTTTCTGATAGAAATATTTTAAGATTGGTCTGAGTTCAGGAGCAAATTGTTTGGAAAATTTGGTGCTAAAATGGGTTCATCTGTTCTCAAGAATGAAGTGACAGGAAGGAGAACGTGTTTTCACCCATTCAGCAAAGTACTGTCTGAACCTTGAGTTTGGAGACGAGTGACAACGGAGGCTAGGCACGTAGCTTGTTTGCCCATAGAGTGTGTCGTGGCATGTGTAGATAAGGTCTAGGAAGGAGCTGAACATTTCACATTTTTCATATTCCTTTTGCAAACTAAAAACCACTACTACTATGCAAAAATATTTACTATTTAAAAAAAATATTCAAATATATTCAGAGAACGTTAGGGTTACACTAACACTGGAAAAGGCAGGAAATAACCAAGCAGTCTTATACAAATTATTTCATAAGATGATCAGGCATATATGACAAATTATTTCATAACATGATCAGACAGTATTTTTTTATTATTTTTAAGACTTCGCTATCTTTAGTGTTAGTATTTGTCAGTGAGATGTGAGGTTGTGTAACTCTCCAAGATCCAAAGCATCCCACGTCATTGGCTGTAGATGCTGGGTGGCAACCAGTGATCAGGGCTCAGCTCAACAACTCCCATGAAGAAGGACATACTCTAGTCCTTGGTCACTGGTGCCACACCTGGGTAACACGAGACATCCCGTGTCAAATCACTGTGGAGCTCCACTTGGCAGCTCTACATTTTCCAAGCAAGTCCTGGATTTTCTGGAAGAGGTAGAACAACTTAGGTTGAGTAGAAAAGCTATCAAATATAGTGGTGATGACTCACCTCATTAACTGCATCTTGCCGATGGCCTCACACCTTGTGAACTTTTTTTTTTAATTTATCGCTTTGTGGCTGGCCACTCATTTGTCGTGCTGACAGGCAATGGCCTTCTGAGAACACCACCTACTATTATGGGATCACTGAGGCCAAACAGAAAATGGAGGAAATAGCAAGAAATATAAAACTGCTAGGCTGTCTCTAGGTCAGGTAGCCGGATAAATGGTCTTTGTGAATCTGTTTGAGCAAAAAAATACAACTATTCTGTTGGTATTAAGCAACTTGATCTACTTCAGCTTCAAAAAAGAGCCTAAAGCAAAAAGATATATTTCATTATAGGTGAGGAGGAAATAGATGTTCACAGGCTGTTGACTATCCTTGAACAGAGCACACTTACTCAGAGGAAATGTAGATGTATGGTGAGGAGCATAGAGGAGATGGGAACCCTTCCTCTACCTGGATCCAGCAATGTTTTCTATTATCAAAACATGCCCAACTATTTGTTTACAGAAGGTCTCAAATGCCCTGTTAGTGTTTGGTGGAAACATGTCAGGGTCAAGGGTTTCCCTTGGGTGTCCTCTGAAAGAGCATGTGAAATGTAAAATCTGAAAATCAGCCAGAAAAGATCTTTTTGGGGACATGAGTTGTGTGAGGACTGTCTATCAGGCGTAACCTACAGGAGAGGTTAAGATGAAATTTTCTGGAAAACTTAGAGATAAAGGAGTCCGTGTCTTGGTCTGACAGAGTAGAGTCTTGTAAAGGATTCACTCAAGTCTCCATTGTGTCTTATAAGGATAAATCTGAATTTTCTCATTTGGGAAAGGGTATAAGTAGTGTTTCTAGGTGGACAAAAGTAGGTTGCAGTGACAGAAACAGCCGCAAGCAGAGTCAAAGCCAATGTGTGAGGATAACCCTAAAAATTGAAGGTGGTGTGGGAGATGGCAGAGAAGAGTTTTCATTATGATTGAATATTAATTAGTGACATGGCTATTAATGATGACAGTAATTAACAGAGGAAGGAAAGACTTGTCATTGTCCCGAGGGTGAGTAATCAGTCTTGGCAGGTGATAAATAATGGTTCAGCAAACTCAGCAGAAAGATAATCTGTCTGCCTCAGGACAACTGGAGAACAGCTATAAAATCTTCCAGGCTCTTGGCAACATTCAGGAATGACTTCATGTTTTTAATAGAGACAAATTAAAATCCCTGGTCTCAAGTGCTGCTTGTATTCCAGAGCGGCTGGTCACAGGAGTTCTGCTTGAGTTGGTGCCTTCAGTTTACTTGCCCCTTTAAACCTTTCTTTTTAATCTTAATAACATGGGGAAGAAAGACTGGTGAACCAGCTTTCGGCATTACTTGAATTTTTCATCGTAGTTTGGTGAAAATTGAATGGATTCTTCAAAAGGGGTGTAGAGCTGGGGACACGATAGTTCTATGTAAAAATGGGGTGGGACTTCATCCTGCATTAAGTATTTCTGTATGTCTGGAAAGGGACCACGCAAAATCCACTTCACCTCCCTTGAGCAAAGCAATGCACTACTCTAGATGTTTTTCAGATATCAGCTGTCACGTCACTTGGCAATGAGATCCTGCAAGCCTGTAATCCAAGACCAAAATCAGGAGAAATAGTGGACTTTTTAGTTTAAGAGATGAACAGAAAAACCAGAAAAGATTCTGGTTTGGCTTGAACCAAGACAGCATTTTGTGAGGTTTTGTTTTATTTCTAACGATACAGAAGCACTTCAATTCGAGTTTTCTTGAAATTGTTTTCTAGCCTAAAATGTTTTATTCTATCTTTAGGATATTTTTGTTTTGTACAAGACAAAAAGGAACATCCATGTTTATAAAATATAGTATTTTCTTAACAAACTTGTCAAAACAACAGTTACTGGCTCTGAACATTTTCCCCGTATGTTATTCAAGTAGCACTGTTTACTAGACATGTTCTCATCTGGCAGGTAGTGTTGGACCCTTCAGACATCTTTTTCTGAGTAAATTTACTATTCGCAAAACAATGATGTGACTTTAGTACACACCTGGCAAGCTGGTTTCTGTAGACACAGCAAAGTGGTGGCACCATTGCCAGAGGCATTGATTAGATGTTCTGCAAGGTACTGCCTGCAGTTCTGGTGACCCTAGTGCAAAGAGATGGAACTTAAATTTGAAAAGTTGCTGAATGATAAAGTAGAGGGACAGACCATCTCAAGAGGACATTAAAACAGTTTGGTGGGTTTAGTGAAATGGAAGTAGGGAGGCAATGCCTCAGCCCTCTATAGAAAGGCTCAGGAGGAACTATCAAGAAGAATTCTTTCCATTAAATTATAATACAGGAATGATATCAAATGCATATCAATTGCCTATTAATAAACTTAGAGTTCCATCTATCAAAATATAGATATATATGTTTTGAAAGGCCACAATAAGGTCTCCCTGGTGCCTTCTTCAGGCTGAAAAATGCCAACTCTCTCAGCCTGTCTTCATAGGAGAGATGTTCCAGCCCTAATCATTTTCGTGGCCCTGCTCTGGACCCACTTCAACAGTTCCGTGTCCTTCTTATGTTTGGGGACCCCAGAGCTGGACACAGTACTCCAGATAGGGTAGTACTCCAGAGCAGAGTAGAGGGACAGAATTACCTCCCTTGACTTGCTGCACACGCTTCTTTGGATGTAGCCCAGGATATGGTTGTCAAATCTCACCTTCTTCTCCAAGACATTGCTTGTCTTTGACATAAGCAAGACTTTCCTGTTTTTTTTTGACTGATAACTCAGTTCTGCACTTTTAGATTATTGCCTCTGACATTACGGGTGCAAACTGCCCGTAGGTGCTCCTTCATCTCCTCGCTAGCTAGTGCTTGTGGAAACGTAACTCTCTGTATGCGGAGGTGAGAGACATAATTGGGAGAGAACAAGTTACATGTAACCAATAGAGTAATATCTGATTTAAACTATATCAAGTCTCCTATCGCACAGAATGCTTCTGGGACTTTGTACCTGTCAATAACTGTATAACTATAGTGTGGCGCAAGGAAGAAAACCAGTGTGAAACCTCAGTGGAGATAAAAAGGAAAACGGAATAAAATTCATGTCAGTTCTATTATATCTATTTCAATGTTATCTCTTTCTAGGGCTCTCGGAAAGCCTGTGGTCTCAGTGTTTGATGCTTTCTTCGCTTCTCTTTTTGCAGGTGCTGATATTGTGCAGTGGCTTATGAAGAACCTCAGCATTGAGGATCCAGGTAAGGTGACCGCAGCTGGGGAGGAACACATACTCGATCTGTATTGTGTGTGCTGATAGACAATAGATACTATTTTGCTGCAGTCCAAAATAGCAGTAGAACATCAAGGTTGGTTTAAGCATTTGATGGGAAGGAGGAGGGAATGAGGATAAGAATCAACATCTTAATTAAGTCTAATACCTTACGCTGCAACACACAGAAATCACTTTGTAGGAGTCTTAACCTGTCTGTGAAATTGTTGCTGCCTAAGAAAGACTGATTGATTTTAAAGTTCTTCCCAGACTTAGAAAGTTGGTGGATTGTGTGGTTAGGCAGGCAAATGCAGTGGCAGATTTCCATGGTGCGGAGAAAGGTAGCTGTGACTGACTTGACATTCTGGTCAAGAATGGCACAGACCCATTGTGGGATCAGATGATGGCTGCTAATTTATTACAGCAGATAGATAAATGGATAATCAGCCATAAACAGTGATCAGTGCATGGGCACAGTTCAAATAGTTCACTCTTCAGAGACACCAAAATCATGCATAGTTAAGAATTGTTGGGAAAAGAGGAAGAAAAGATCTGCAGGTCCAGAAGTTTTTCCTTTTCTGAAAAGGAAAAAAAATCAAGCATCTCTCCTCCCAGTTTGTTTCTGCTGCCTACTGTCACCATGTAAAAGGAGAGATAGAGGTGGTGTTATCTCACCCAAGACATCCCTACACTCACATCCCTCTCGTGAGTCCAGTCAAGTCCCAAATCCGAATTTTATCTACAGACAATAGCTTTATTATCTGCCTGGGGGTGCATGAGCCACTGATATGTATTTTGCAAGTCTGAGAAAGTTGATGCAGCTTTTGACAGCTGACATTTTTGAAAACCTGCGCAGGTGTACCTCTGCGCTGGTGAAGCTTACCCTGGCAGTGCTAGGATATGTACTCCCTTTTACCTCAGCACCTTTTCCTCTAAGGAATGGCAATCCTATAGTGTCAGGATTTGTCTTTATGCATAAACATGCTGCTAATGACCTGGTGCTGCAGGTGTGTGTTAGATTTTGTAGAGGCAAGTGGGGGTCACTGATGGAACAGGTTTCTTGTCAGGTGTCACCTCTGGTAGATAATGTGCTTTCAATTGAATTTCAGGCTCCAGTGCTGAACTGGTGCGTGACATTTTGTAAACATAAAACTAGTGGGTTAAACATTTGAGCAGTGTTTCATCTGTTTTGTAAGGCTGATGTCTGCTCTCCTGCTTTGCACAGCTGGATCGGAAGGTGTAAGGATGCGGTGTGGTTGCAGAGTGGCATGTGTGCACCAGGTCTTCACGTGAGTCAGTGCCAGAGCCACTGCTGAAGGTAAAGGAGTGTGCAGTGCACATCTTCCTGATACATCCCTGCTGGTTTCTCTCTTTTGCAGGGGAAGCAATACACTTGGGAAGCCTTATTGCTGCACAGGGTTATGTCTTTCCTATCTCAGACCATGTCCTTACCCTGAAAGATGATGGGACGTTCTATCGTTTTCAGGTTGGTGAGCCCTCTGCCTCCCTTGCGGTCCCTTCTACTGTACCTGCAATAATACTGCTGAAATCCACCTGCTCTTTATCCCTAAGCACCTGCTAGGTCTATGAAGGCAGGGATTGAGGCTATCTTGATTGAGGCCTTAGGAAGTTATGAAGTCCCTTCAAAAAGATCTGCTTTAGAATCCCATATCACTATCTTCTACCTTCTGACCCAGTTTTTACATAAATGAACAAATATGTCCTGTGATTATTTTTTAATACATTACTTCAAGGCTGTTGTACTCAGAGTTGGACTAAACCAGTAGAAAGAAAATGGCTTCTAACCCCGGCACAGAATTGAGTAGCGACCCTTCTGTGCAAAAGAGACCAAGACACACTTTGGAGTTAGATGTTCAAGCTCTGGCACAGCAGAAAATTCACGTTTTTATCTTCTCTTGGTTACAAGAGATGTAGGAGAGGGCAAGCTTCAGGCTTTGGCTCTTTTACAGAGGATATGTAACCTTGGCAGTCACCTAAGCTGGGACATCTCTAGCCCTCAGTGTCCCTGTGCCTCCAGATGTCTTAAATGTTTAAAGCATCCTGTGCTTGAGTTCCGTGCCCTTCCAAAAATTGCTGCTGTCAACCTCTGAGTGCTCATGCTGCAACAACTCCATTTGGACAGATTGTAAAAGTTTAAAAGAAGCAATAAGTTCAGACCTCGGGTCCTACTTCCTAATCTTGCTGACTGAAATTGTGTATTTCTGTTACATGATCCTCACCAGCTCCCTTGTCTTTCCTGTGACCTCTCTGCTATTCATGCTCCTGTTTCTCTTCTTCATTTGTTTTCTCTTTTTCAGTTTTTATTTGAAAAGCCCGTTCTCCTCTTTGCATCACATGGTGCTGCTGCTCATGCTCACTGATATACTGCTAATGCGGTGTTGTGTTATCGCGTGAGACCAATGGCACAGTGAACAAAGCCCAGGAGATCACAGACCTCCCCTTATCTCTCCCCACCTTCTGCTTACCTGGCATCATTCAGACTAAGGTTTTTCATGACAGTTCCCTTGCTGTTCTAAAAGTCCTGATTCTCCTGCCACGCAAGACTTGACAGAAGCAGGGGCAATACTGATTGCCCATTTAGTTGTATTTTTCTCTATTTTAAAAGAATGACACCATAAGAAGTTGTCCTGTGAAGCTGTCAGGAGATAGATTTCAAAAGCAGAGTATAATTTAATTTCTTTTCCTTATTTTAAGCCTGTGTAAACCACATCATCAAATTGTCTTGACTGCTTATTGACTTTTCTTTCTCTTATCTTTTCCTACAACTTTTGCTTATTTGCCTATTGTCATTTCCTGCAACAGTTCTCAACCGTTTTATGCAAAAATAACCTGATAGAATATTTTTTCTTTTCAATTACTCTCTTCTTGCTGCTTTCTACCTCAACGTCAGTCCCTCCTTTTAACAGTAGCTCATCATCTTGTGAAGTTCATAAGGTGTGTATCAGTGAGGAGCGTTGAACCTTGTATTGTTTGATCCCTCCATGTTTTGTCACTGTACTTTATGTCTTTGTGTAAGTAGTTCCTACGCCTGTTTGTGGTATTACGTCAGTAACCCAAAACAGTGTTCTGTAATTTGTGTGATCACAGCGACATTATTTTTCATTCATGTTAAAACTGAAGTACAGCTACATGTAGTAATTAATTCAAGATATTGTAGCAACCACAGTATGCACACCTGGATGGAAAACAAAAGCAGTAAGCTTAGCAGGACTTCTGCTTTCAGAGCAACTCTAATCAGCTGAGTTTTGACCTCTGCCATCTGTTATATTTAAAAAGTAAATTGTTTTGTAGGGTACCAACCACACTGGTAGCTGCTCAAAAAAGCAAGTGGTTTGTAGCTTATAGAAAAGGCCATGAGGTTTCTCATGCTTCTAAAAAAAAAAAAAAAAAAAACCAAACAAAAAAACCCAAACAATTCAGATTGCCTATGAATTCCTGGGGGAAGAGGAGGTACTGGGAATAGAGGGTAAGAGGTCATCATTTGGATGAGATAGAAATAGTGTCTAAAATGTCACCAGGATACTGCACATCCTCCTCAAGAGATGCTTGTATTACAGTATCTCTCTTTACCTGAGATGAGGAACGTTAAAGATGAGACCTGCCTGGAAAAGCATCCTCACTTTTACTGAGGTCTGTAGCAGTGTTTCACCTGAGGGCAGAGACTAGGCCATAGACTTTGTGATTCTTCTTTTTGTACTTGTAATGTTTTTCTGCATTTGAATTGTTTTTCATCTCTTAAATTACAAAATGTATATGTTGTTTCTTAGGCACCGTACTTTTGGCCTTCGAACTGCTGGGAACCAGAAAACACAGATTATGGTGAGAGTATAGTTATTTCATTTGTGAAAGTTAGTACAGAAAATTTGTGATGGAAAAAATTGTCCTGTTGGCCATCTAAACCCTTCATCAGCAGTTTCTTGTCAGACTGCAGCATCAGAGGCAGATATGTGCCCATCTAAAATACATGAAGTGAAATCCCAGAGCATTTCAAACCCACGGAGCTGTAAACCATCGAGTTCAGCGAGACCAGGAGTTTACCTACCGTTACCTTCCTTCTCCTGTAGCTGTGTTCATTTCGGCTGGATTTATGACAAGCAGAATACTGCTCCTTGGGAATCTTAAATAATGCCAGTATTGCTTTTGTGGGAGAACATACTCTGATCTGTAGCTGAATCTGATACGTTGATCAATAAAAAGTTACCTCATCTGAGCACTCATCTGGCTGATCAATAAACCAGTATATAACTGATGGCAACCCATAGTTAAAAGTTCTCTGATATAGGACATCAGACTTATTTTTCCCATTTTTTTAAGATTACCAGCCAATAGATGGTAAAAAAGAGAAGACTGAACATGGTTTATGAGCTAATAAAGTGCAACATGGTGTGTTAAATATGTGAGTGCCTGCAGACAGCGATAATACATAAAGAAAATATGTCAGTGTTGTTATCTTTAGCCATCTGCATTCAGTATTGCTGTCTCTTCCAGAACTGCGCTTCTTTCACAGTTAAATGGTAAAATCAATTGTTGCGTCCTGGTGTGGCACTAGAGGAGGAAGTGAATCCATGCGTGTGCTCATAGAACAGGAGCTTCTGGAAGTGCTTCTTCTGAAATATCTCATAATCTAAGATCAGTTTAGAACTCCTCCCTGAATAATTAGTGTTTTTTTTCTTTCCCAAGCAATAATTACTCATCGTTATGGATTCTGGAAGTCATTTGCTGGAGCAGAGAAGTAGCCTGCAATGGTGTCTGTCGTGTTAGTTCATTTTCAGTCCTCATCTGCAGGGAAGCTAACACAGACTTATGTGTTTATCCCAGTGAGGGAACTGCTTAGGAGAAAACATGATGCTATTTGTTATATGCCAAATAATTTCCAGATTTTACAGTCACTATGTATAACTGTCTGAACTGTGCCAAATAAGTATTCTGTAAATATCAGAATAGCAATCTGAAGAGGGAAGTTCTTGTTTTTCCTATGGTATCTGATACATAGATCTGTTTTCACAGTCAGATTATTGTGCTGCAAAGGCATTGAGTGGAACAGTATACCTCAAAATAAAGCCCTATATGAGCTGACCCACAGCTGGACAAAGCTGCAGCTGCATGAGCTCTGAGCCCTGCAGTGACAGATTTTCGTCTGTCCCAGAAATCTCTAACATATGCCTATAATCTGTCTTTGTATATCAGAGGTCTGTGCAGATAGAGTCTTTCCAATCCTCAACTAGCAGTAGATCCAAATAAAACTGAAATCCCAGCAGCTTTTCATACTCTTTTTTATTTGCATGGATCCACTCACAGGACAGGAACTAACTTGCTAATGGCAGGTCACTGCCTGGCATGAAGAAATACTGTGAGATGACTGACTCTCAGTTTATTTGGTGTCGTAAATGGCTTACAGATGAAACTACTTTTGAGATGTATAAATATACATGAATTGATCAGCTCTGGTTACCATGCATAATATTGGATTATTATATGCATGTTAGAATTATAGGAATATCATAAAATAGAATTACATGAGTAGCACTGCTTTTTTTCATATATTTTAAATATAAGAATAGGTTTTCAATGGAAAACATCCGTGAAGGTGTCAGAAAATTATATTTGTCAGCAAACTAAACCCCCATGGTTTTCAAAGAAAAGCTGAAATTTTCTAGAAAAAATTTATTGCTGTTTTCTGTAGATGATGCTTTGCCTCCTGCCCTGCTCCACTTTGGCACGCTGTTGGACAATCAGCACCTGGTGCTGCAGCATGAGAGAGGGGGGCAAAACACAAGGAAGCTATAAAATTCACATCTAGATTAATCCCAAAATGAGAGCACTGGACCTCTGTTACGTAGTTCAGGCCTGACTGTATACCCAGGGTGTGCTGGAGACCTTGTGTTTCAGTCTGTGATGGAAATGGGGTGAGGTAGCAGTCCAGCCGAGGTTTTCCCAGAAGGCAGCCTGGGACTGGTTTGGTATCGTGCTCTGGGCTCATCTTGACCCTCAGAATCGCAAACCACTTGAGTTTCTTGCAATGTCTGCCTATGGTGAAATGTGAGAAGGCTTTTCTTAACCATTTGACATGTGTAGAATAAGTGGGTGGAGCATATGAAAAAAAGGTTCTGATTATACCTTTAAGATCACAGAATAGTTTGGGTTAGAAGGGGCCTTAAAGATCATCTAGTCTCAACCCCACTTCCATGGGCACAGACACCTTCCCCTAGATCAGGTTGCTCAAAGCCTCATCTAACCTGGCCTTGAACACCTCCAGGGATGGGGCATCCATACTTCTGGCCTGTATTTCTGTTTTAATTTCAATATCCTGACTCTTTTTTTTTTTTTCTTTAAACAAAAGGGGAAAAAAGTGTAAGGCTGCTCACTTTGGCAAGCATGTTCCCAAAGTGCTGAGGGGAACAGGTTGCTAATGCTAAATCTTTTACCAGTCCCAGAAGCAATTGTGTCTTTCTCAGACATCTTGTTAGGTCCTGGCGTCTACTCTCAGCACTTGTAAATGAGGTGTCCCAGATGTTTAAGGCCTCTGAGATTACTAGTGGGTAATGTCAGCTGGATATTCAGCCCTCTTATTCCTTGGCGTATGTTGCTTTCTGATGAGAACAAACAGCCCATGGACCACTTTTTTCTTTTTTAAGATGGAGCACTAGTAGTCTGTCTGTAATTGTTTTCCGTTCTGTTTCTCCCTTTAGCCATCTATCTTTGCAAACGGACCATGCAGAACAAAGCCAGGCTGGAGCTGGCGGATTATGAAGCCGTAGGTACACTGCTGCTAGAGTTTAAAGCTGGGGGGCGTGGAGAGAGCTTTGCTTGCCAATTGAATGCTGCCATTTTGTGCTCTGGTGTCAGCCTTCACTGTGTCTTTTTCTAGTTGTCAGAATTGTGTGAAGGCTGATTTGGAGACAACATCAGGAATGTGATTGGGGAACATCCTTGGCTTCACAACGTCTCAAATTAAAGCATCTGCTGTACAGCCAGCCTCCAAGATTGGGGCAAATTACACAGAAGCTTACATTGTTTTTCTGTTTCCAGTTAGCAGTTCCTGGTTTATATAGCAGGTATTAACACACAGAAATGATGAATTTTCAGGTGCATTATTGGGCAATTAAATTGCTGGTGACCCATTTAGTTATGAAAGTTTTCAGATATTAGACTTGGACTGTTTTCAATATGCCATATAAAAAAACTATTACTCAAGCTTATTCAGGGCGTGTTTTCTGTTACGAAATGGTTATCCATTAAAATATCCCCAATCTTGGCTTCAGATTGTGCAGGGTTTGGGCGGAGAGGAATGGGAAGACGGAGGCAAGAGGGGCAGGGCTGGTGTGAGTTTCTTTGAATACCAGCAGTGTAATCTCTGACCAGCTGAACTTTTCTTTCGATGATACTGACTTTTTTTTGTTTACTAGCTCAACAGGTTAACAGCTGAATTTCAAATGTGGAGTTTTTCAGTGGAGGGTTTGTTTACAAGTCTGTTTCTGGTGGACTTCTGTGTTCATGTTTAATTACCATATTTAGTGACATTTATATTGCATATATTTTAAGGTTTTTTTTAAGGGAATTATCTTTTTCCCTCTTCCTTACCGTCTACATTTTCAGTCTTTTGTGCACATGGATATACATAAACGCCATTTGGTCTTTCCAGTGAAGAGCATGCAAAAATTGCCACTTATCTAGTCCACCCTGGAAATGCATTCAGATCTCCCAAGAGTTCTAATCTTGAAGTACAGGCATAAAGGAAGGAATATAATAATCTGCATGCACTTACACATCCTTTTGCTGAGTTTTCTCTTCTGCATATTGTTGATTTCATTATTAAAATGATTAAAATTGCTCACAGCCAACCAATTAACTGTAAGTACTCTAAAGATCCATCATAAAGCAACAAAAGGCTGTTCAGGAGCGCACACACTCCCACACACATGCAGCGAGGCTATGGCTAAGTACTTTTGCACATCGTTGTCTACTGAGAGTAGCAATGCTCCGGTGATGGCAAATAATTAGATCTTGGCAGTCTCTCATTTTTCTTGTGAATATTACATTGCACAATTAGAGATTGCTTCTGCATTCAAACTTTGCTCTCTTAATTAGAGACAATCAGATAAGAACAACACCGACTCTTCCTAGTCATTATGGGAGCCGAAGCAGATCCAGCAATGGAGATGTAAGCTGAGCACAAGTGAGAGAAACAGGCTTACAGGAGCAGGAAGGAGCCCTGTACATTTCGTATGCATTTTTGGAGATGTAGCATGAGAATGCCTCTCAATAGGCATCAGCACTGGCCTGGAGTTTTCAAAGAGAATCGCTACAAAGCATCTCAGAGGATATCTTCTCATCTTTAGGTTCTGCTTGCAGCACTCATAGACAACCCCGCATCCCCATTTATACTGGTAGTGCAGGGGTCTTGATGATACAATTAAGCTTGCATAATTGCATTCACTTTTGTTTATAATTGGCCAAACTTAAGCATGATTCAAATATTGCTTCAATTGGTGATGTTTCATTGACTTCAGCATATTTACTCCAGAAGGCACATGTAAACATAATTTAAAATAAAATAAAATAAAAAAAGAAACCCACAAAAAATTGTTTTCGCAGATAACTACAAGTAGTTCTTCCTTGTTGCCACAGTTAAGGAAATCATCGCAGTTCAGCACAGCTGTAAATCATTTGCTTAAATGTTTTCCTCCATGTATATGGACTGAAACTCCTACAGGGACTTGGTGGTAACAGGGCCAAGCTTTTTATACTTTGTGTTATACAAGAGTTTAAAGTAAATAACAGGAATATGCATTCTAGCATCGAAAGACGTATGCTTAAGCACTTGCTTGAAAGAAAGGGAGTAGGTATAAAAAGAACAGCAGTAGGACTAGTAGTGTTCATTTTCAATG